ACCCTTAGGTTTAAGGGTTGGCCAGCACACTCTTATGCTGCCAACAAAAATGAATAGAGAGAAATGAGTGTGCATCGTATCATGGTTTAGCATCTGTCCCAAACATGTTGTGGAAGTATTCTATGCTCGGGATATACAAAATAAATGAGGTCTTGCATTTTCAAATTACGGTACATGGTTATGATGCACATCATATTTCCACATTTTTCATAACGTAATGTAACGATCCACTTTTCAAGAGCTTGAGTCACTAACCGTTATTAACTGATGTGGGATATTTGAAAATATATCTAAATTTAAAACGTTTTAATCATGCATGGACTAAGGAAAGTTAGATTCAATACAACATTCAAAATACATAAATACAAACTGACATACCAAGATGACGCACACTCCCAAAACATGACATAGTCGATTTATAAATCTAGAAATATAGAAGTTGATGATTCATTATCAAAAGGTGACAAGGCACCGATCAGCCCAAAACTCCATAGCCCCTAATTATGTGCACCTCCGCCTTGATTACTTTGTCATGCCTCATTTGAAAATAAAACTAAAGCAGCTCAGCTTACTAATGGTTCATAGTTCGTTATTACGTTTATTGATATTCAGTCGTTTGTTTAACATCTTATTCTCATGTTGGTGTTCGTTTCTTAGTACCAGCTGATCATAGGGTACACTCTAGGTTTACTCATTCTACCTTTAGAGTTTCTCATGAGTTTTATAGGTCTCCTAGATTGTCATTTTTGTTAATCTCTCTCATCATTTATAGTTCTAGACCTATACCGTAGATCCTCGAGGGGTGATATCAGTTATAAGTTCTCATAACTGTCTCAAGTAACGTCAAGAGTTTCATTTTGAGGCTAAGTCATGTATGTTGTATTTGTATAGGAGACTTAGAAAATATAGTAAAAAACACATTTTTGCTTTTTTTAATTTTATATAGTTTAGATGGCATGTTTAGAATCATTCAAGCTTGACATGATCGATCTTGCTTGTGGAGTGATTTGAATATCAAACAAGTGTTCTTGTCTTGAGATACTTGATCAACAAGATACACCTCCTGCTCATGATAGATTCACGAAGAGAAAAATAACTGAAAATTTTCCTAATAATTTCCACATAAATCAGTTATAGAGTTATCTAGATACTTAACAATTTAGTCAGGTTTACGATTCAGAGCTAGTTGATGAACCCCTAATCGTCTATGTATATCCGCATAAAATCACATACATAAACAAATCATCATAAATCTCAAGTTGCAATTGTGGACTCCTACCACCCGGGACAAGTTCACTAAAAGGAAACTCAATGACAAACTCATGTGATAATTCTCATACATTATAAGTTATTTCTATAGTTATTTGAACCTCTTATAATCGAGTTGGATTTACGATTAAGGCTAATTGGTGAACCCCTAATTGACCTCGTATAACGGCATGAAAATCACTATTATAGGCAAATTTTAAATAGAGAATTAGCATAACAACTTAAACGCAGATACTTAGTCATATATAAATTTTTAGTTCGTTCCTTTTTTGGGAAACATGCATCATAATGTTCAACATGTTTTTAATACATCAAATCAACTCAATTCTGACTCAAATTTACCAGACATGTTTCTTATAACATGCTTTAATACATACTAAAAGCGCATCTTAATCCAAAGTTTCAAGGTGCAACTTACATGAAAAATGTGACACTTTATGTTCGGGTTTGCATACTTCGAAAATTTCAAAATTTGTCAAACTCCTTAAAATGTTCTACATGGAGAAAAATCATGAGAATTAGTGAAATCAGATTAAAACAGGTAAACCTTGTAAGAATAGGTAAACCAGTTTGGTCGAACCAAATTCAGTCACCCGCATGTCAGCCATTCAGCCCCTCATCTTTCACCACATGTAACTTACGTTCTAGGCCTCGAAGATGATTGCTTCCTTCTACAAAATTGTAGATCTTATCACGTTAGATCAATAGACATAAAAATCATGAATTTTATTAAGAATTGGCGAAAATATTTGATAACTTTACAATAGTAGAGTTATATCGAACATTTTTATCGTTTGAGAGCATACTAAAGCAATATATGGCCAAGAACAATGTTCTGATACAAAGTCAGCAAACATCATTACGAAATCTGGAAGTTCAAACGAACCAATTATCAACTAAGTTATGAAATAGACCTCTTGGGAAGCTAGTAGCAAACATCGAGAATAAAAATGAAGAATGAGGAAGCTCACTTCGAGAAGTTCATGGATGCATATGAGAAAATTGATATAAACATACCATTAGTGGAAGCCTTAAAAGAGATGCCCAACTATGTCAAGTTCTCGGAGGATATTCCCACCAATCGAATTTTTTTTAAAAAAATTCAAGGTGGTGACATTGAATGAAGAGTGCATTACAATATTGAAAAATGGAATTCCACTAAAGGAGAAAGACTCTGACTCATTCACAATTTCAGTATTAATGAGACATTGTATGATTTTGGTTCAAACATTAATTTAATGTCACTGTACATTTTTTCGTTAGGAATTGGTAACCCTGCGACATAAACAACCCACGACGCAAGCAGCCCAGCCTAGACATCTTGTTACAACCCAACCCGAAGCCAAGCAGATCCGCTACCGACCGCATGTGACACACAAGTGACCACGCTCAACCGATCTAATCCACTTGCCCCGTTCTAATATGCCTTAATTCAACTGCGACCCGTTCCAGCAGCCCATTTCGACCATGTTCGCCCATCCAACCTAGTTTATTGCCTTTTTTTTTTTTTTTTACCGATTTGGTCATTGCGTGATTGATTCGACCCCTTCTCGGCACCCATTATCACTGTTCCAACCATATTAAGCTCAATTGAGATTGTGAGTGTCTTGGAAGGTCGTTGGAGTACGTGATGTTATCTAACAACTTCATATCAAGTTTTTGTGGAATTCTCTCTGATTAAGATAAGTGAACTCACTGTTGGAAGTTATGAGCTAAGTCAAAAGAGTAGTCACTATACGTAGGGATGTATGTTAGCATGTAATTATAGCGTGGACATAGTATGAGGTAAAATCATGAGATGCTAGTAGAATAGTGATGCAAGTATGTAATCATGTTATGATATGGTCATATGATACTCATGTCGATGGAAACAAAAAAAAAAAAAAAAAAAAGAGTACATATAGTTCTTTGTTCGTCCCTAAACCATGTGGTTTCTTCCAGAATTAGCTCATGAAACAATCGGTCCCTTCATGCATGCTCCAGATTGTGGCTACGACTTTCTCCCATGTCATTTCAATCGCCAATGCAAGCATCCATCTAGTTCCATTCTATACGCTACTCTCCCCTTTGTATCTATTAATCGCTATCTATTTTTCTTGCATCCATCCCGGGAGCGGAGCTATATCGAAAAAGATTGCAAGTTGATATTAGTCTTCTATGTTCTCATCCTCCCTGTTCCTCAGCAAATTCAAGGCAACAAAAGGGGACGTTAGGGGGGAACAACGTCCAAGTTGTGACAATCCAACAATAACAATATGCTTCACAACAAAGAAAGTTCCACTCTCAAACCTCTCACTTGAATTACGAGGACCTACAATGGTACAATATATCGGAGTCCCTGGCCAGAACCACACGTGCAAATTTTCCTACATGTTGCTCGTCCGTGCTTTCCAAGGCACTGTCTGTGACTCAACATAAGAAAACGGGATTCAGCATGAGAAAACGGGGAGGTTGCACATTTTTGTGTTCGGAGCATTGTCCGAATGAATAGGCAATTTTAGAGGTTGGTTTGGTTCCATTTCTAACCTACCAACAATTTGATTTAGATGTTGGAACAAGCCCGAGGAAAGTCTAGGTCCACCTCATGCATATGTATGTTTACGATCCATGATATTTTTTTGAAAATGATTGAATGTGACGATATGGTCACAACTATATTAACTATAATTTTGACGAAATGGTCAAGTGAGAGGGTGGCGATATGGCCCCAAAAGTTTTATGGCGAGGTCACAACTTGGTGGAATGGTCAATAGATGAATAATATATTGTAAGGAAAGTTTTCACGTAGGACATGCGTGTATGTACTTACATTTTTCGACCCCAATAGTAATGTCATTAACTGTATATTTTTTTTAATACTCCACCACTTTAAAAAATATTTTATTTTCAAATAAAAAAAGGTGTCGTCTGCATCGTTATGAGAATTATATATTTTAGCTTCCGCTGGTTATGTCTTTGTATTATGAATCTTTAAACGGAGAGGGTGCATTTTATTTTGAATAACTCAATTTAGTTTAAGGGTATTATTAAAAATTTTGAAATTTTCAAAAATAATTTTTTAAAATTAATTTAACCAATAATTGGACATAAATAATATATTAAAACGGTATAAAATTCTATTATATTTTAGAATAAATTAATAAATCATCCATAAATTTTTGTATTTTGTCTAAAATTTTTCAATAATACCTTTAAATTAAAAAAAAATATAAAAAATATAAAAAATAAGTTACCGTTAGTATTTTATTTCAAATATATCTTTGAACTTTAACGTGCTTAAATACTTTTATATTAGATTTAAAAGAAACCATGATAATTTAAAAATAGTACCGTCAAGCTTTTATAAAAAAAAAGTTCAAAAAAATTCTTTAAATTAAAAGAGTATTTTTGAAATACCAACCGTAACAATAAGTTTAAAAGTGTTTTTGAAATTTTTGAAAAGGTCGGAGAATATTAATAAAATTTTTGAAAATTCATACTGATTTTTTTTTATTTTTTATTTTAAGATTTAAGGGGGTTATTGAATTTTTTAAAAGTTTAAAGGTATTTTTAAAATAAAGATAGAAATTTATTAATATTTTTATTAATATAGAGAATATTTTATGCAAGAACAGATAAAAAAAAATTGTAATAAAAAGGTATTTTTTAATATTTTTATACGATTACAACCAAATTTATTTGAAATTAGTTAGGATTTGAAACCAATATATATGGAGGTGTGGGATGAGAAAGAAAAAGAATAGCATTCCTTTAAACCGACTTCTGGTTGAAAACGAAATCAAAGCGAAGCTTATATAAGTTGAAGATTTGCAAGAACAACAATTTTGTGCAGAGAGCATTTGATCGACAACCAACCTGCATTCATGTTTAAAATGGCGAACAACGAATTCAAGTGGGGAAGTATGAAGATGACCCTCACGGTTGATGAATCCCGAACGCTCTACTCTTTGCTAGCAGGAGGGGATGAACGCCCATTTCTAGACATCATCGCCGATTTTACATCCAAGATCCCTCGCACTCGTCAATTTATTGCCTGTTATTCCCTCGCTATTCTCTTGGAGGTCATTCAATCCCTATCAATGTTTTCTCCTCATCATTTTCTGTTATGATTTGTTCTGATTTACACATGTTTACGTCCGAGTTTAGGGCCGTGTTTTATCTGCAAATCTTGTTTCTTCTTCGACTTCATTTACATGGCCTGCCTTTTCGTTATGTTTTTTGTTCTAGGCCTTGGTTTTCCTTTGTTTGCCCGGTTGTCCTCCTCGGTGCGTGATTTGAAGTCAGGCATCTCCTCATTTGCCCCTTTCTTAAAAATTTATGATTCTAACCTGCAATTACTAGATTCTCCGCACCAATCTTGAAAACCCGCTATGTATGTATTACCTAAATCGATGAAATTGTGGCTACTGAAACTGTTATATATATACATATACACATTTACATTGGGTCTGTTTCGAGGCCAAAGAAACGGCGTCAAAATATTTCTCCAATCTCCATTCGATGAATTATACCAATTTGTTTCGATTCGGGTCATCTTGATAACATTTGTTTTTATAATGCATTTGTCTTTCATTAAAGAAAATAAAACTTTTACATGTTGCTGAAGATTTTGTTTACTGAGTTCAGTACATGCGATTGGTAACTTAAATCGTCAATGCTTTTCAATCTGTCGAGTTAATCAATGTGTAGGATTTTCTCTTTTTTTTGTCATTTTTAATTTAATCTTAGATATTTGGGGTCTTCACTCCCATATGTAGTTTCGGTATGCAGTTCTTTTTAAGAATGTCTGTAGCACTGCTCTTTCTTGCAATGTTTGGTATTAGAATTCTGTTTTTTCTCTTTTTGGTAGTTTTATCATTAGTATGGAAGTCTTTTCTTCTATAATGAGTGGTTTGGGGTTTTCCCTTTTGTAATTTCGTTCATCAATAAAATGGTGTTCTCTTTCCTAAAGAAAAATGTTTTTTTTTTTTTTTTGGTGTTTTTCTTCCATATTCAACTGTTTGAACTCTTAAGACGATTGGAACACAGTCTTGATTCCTACTATAGAATTTATCATACCTGTTTGGATAGTGATGGTTAGATTTCCGTACCTTTGTTGCGTTTGTTCCCAATCGTTTCCTTATCTTTTGCATGAAATCCTTTTATGATGAAGGATTGACTCTTTTTGTGCTTATTGATTACTGATTAATGGATCTAAAATGCAGCCAAAGAAGTTGCTTCATGCCACACAACGTTTAGTGGGATTTTCTATTCTTCACCAGACATATTCCTCGCAAAAATCTTCTTCTAATCCGTTTATATCTTTTATTGTACACGTAAGTATGCTACCTAATGACTTAGTAACAAGAGACATGTTAGAGTTTTTGTTCTCGTTACAATTCGACTAAAAGTTGAATGTCATTCAGTTGCATATGGATGCTCATGTTTTACAATTTAGTTCTTGCTAAATGTCAGCAGCCTGACACCACTGTGTAATGTTTGCTATCGAGGAACTTACTATTGGATTGGAGTCCTTTTTGTAGCTTTGTAGTTCTTGTTAACCCTTCTTCTTGATCTATTTTTTTATTATTTATTTATTTTTATTTTTTTTGTATTGCCCTTGTGTATTATTCTCAATAAAAGTTGGCTTCTTTATTAAAAAAAAAAAGGCTATCTTTTCATAGTTCTCTATTATGTGCCTCACAAAAATAGCCCGTACATTCTTTGTGCTTTGCACTTAAGCCTGTAAGGTCTAGTCCTCATTTTTTTGTAGTGCGGCTCATGTTTTAAAAAAAGACTGGGTGAGGTTGCTTCTTTTACTTTAGCCTCCATTGAGCTGCCCCTTGGGATTGATTGCGGCGCTGATTGCTTTACAGTAGTCTTTTTATCAGTATGTCAGTGAGAAAGTAATAAATACACTTCTCTGAAATTGTAAAAGAGCTCCCTTCAAACTAGATAATAAAAAAAAAAATCAAATAGGGATTTAACTTCTAAGACAATTGATCAATTTGCACTTCTCTATCAACTATGAAAAAGAAGCCAGTAACGAAGCAAGAAAGTTGTGAAGGCATTGGTGGCTGTGTGAGAGACCTTTGAGTTTTTCTGTAGGTCTTTGGGGAAGGACTGGAGTGAAGTAAGGGGATGTGTGGGTGTGACTCAAGCAGCAGGATGGAAGATTGTCATAGGAAACGCTAAGAGGAAGACTATTTGTTAGAACACATTCCTTCACTGCCCTTTCGCCTTCAGGGGATGGATCTTTACTTTTGAAGAGCTTGGCCTCCCGTTTTGTTTTTTGAATTTAGTGGAAGTTTGGCTGTTAGAAGCTTTGATGGGTGTAAGCTTCAAGGCAATTACAAGCCCTTTGGATGTGTGATGTGGGAACCATCCTTTGGTTAATTTGGATGGAGATGATCCTCAGTATTTTTGTGGATGTGATGGATACAGAGGATGCTTGTGTTTAGAATGTACAGCACTTGGCTACTTGTCGGGTTCCAAATCATGACGATTTTTTTTTGGTATTTATTGTCTTTCCTTCTATGATTTTGGTAATTATAGTCTTGCCTTTCTATGATTATTACAAACTGGAAAGCCTTTCTATGATAGTTTACTTTTGGGAGGGGTTTCCTTCTACCCTCTGCCCTTAGGCTGTCCTCTTTTGTGTTCTTCATATGCTTATCAGACAAATTTCATAGAAAAAAAAAAAAAGAGGTGTTGTAGCTGGGTACAGTGTCATGGGTGACAGATGCTTGGCAGGATTGCTCTTTAGTTCAGGAAGGTGTGGCAGATCTTTAGGAGAAGGTGTCTCTCAGATGCTCTGGTGTGGGGTTAGGTAGTGCCTAATGCTAGAAATAGACACTATGGTAGCTCTAGATTTTTCCATGAGTGTAGGTCTTCTCATTTCTTAAACAGGTATTGTGGGAAGCTGCTGAACTTGATTATGAAGTTTTTAGAGTGTGGCAGGGGTGCTTTTATTCTATGGGATTGGTTTGTTTCCCTGGAATGTTATGATGATTTCTGAAAGTAGAATATTGTTGTTTTTTGAGAGAAAGAAGCCACTTCACAAATCCTTTATTTATTACAATTTGGAGTTTTCAAGACCCTTTCAAGTATTCGGATTTTCAACCTTGTTCTCTCTCAAATGCTAAAAATTGCAAATTCAGAACTGAGAGCGTTGTATGGTATGAATTTAGGGTAACCAAGTTCCATGGATATCTTTTAGATCCTGAGTTGCACTCTTTCTCCATCAACCTATCCTATTGAACAAACATTTTTTCTCCATTCCCTTCATCTCCCTCTCCCCTGACCTCCCTAATTGAGGGGCTATCATCCACTTGTGTAGCTGCTGAGCTTCACTGTTGATTTTTATTTTTTCTAGTACCTCCATCTTATTTTCTTATTCTATGTAAAATCATTTCAATTTTAAAATATTAACAATGGCAATATTTTAGAAGTGATTTGCAATGATTATCGATTTCTCTTAATTTCCCAATCCCATTTCATGGGTTTTAGCAAAAAGAAATTATTTCTACAAGATGGACTTACAAAGAAATTTTCATTGCTTTCTGAATTAGGTTAATTTTAAAAATTGAGTTTTTCTGCTTCGTATTCTGGGTGTCAGGCTGCTTCTGACGAGGAAGCTGAAAATTGTGAGAGGGCATTTATTTTCCAGCTTTTAGCATCAGACAGCTCCAGTGATGGCAAAGAGGTACAACTTTTAATTAATTACATTGATTTTAATTGGCCGTTTTGCATATTTTTAATTGTTTATTATAATTTCTTGTGCTTTTTGGTTTGGAAGATTTTGTGCTAGTAAATCATAGAAACTGTGTAGTTAAGAGGAATCATAACTGGATTAAAAATTGTTGATGGTTATTGGCAACAGCCTATTTGTATGTTGAAATTTTGTTTATTATGGTGAGTTAATTTCCCCAACCTTTCCATGAGGAATCAAAACTTAGTCCCCTTTCAGTTTGTTTTATCCCTAGATTTGGGGTTGGGATTTGGTTTTACTATTGGAGGCCTCACTGCCCATTAGTTCTTTTCCTTCCTCTTTGTGAGTTTATGCTCTTTTTTTCTAAGGATAGAGGATAAGGATCCTTTTGGTTCTAAATAAAAAAATTAAATATCTGCATAAATTGCCGATACTATTCACAGAGAACAGATATATGAACATGATCTGGGAGCCAAAAAACAAAACATGAAATAAAATAAAAAGGAAGAAAAAGAATAAGAAGAAACAAGAAGAGGAAACGTAACTTTTTGTTGAGTATGTGATAAGTTTCAAGTTTAATTGGAAAATGACAATAGAAACAAATTTAAAAACCTCACCCACAAAAGAACCCAAAGTTACATTTATTCTTCGTACAGTGGCAGAACAAATTGCATGTATTCTTATAGAAATGTTTGCGGACAAAAATGAGTTGCTGATGATTCCTGGCTAGTCATAGCTCATACGCCAAACGATATTTTCTTTTATTAATTCTCCAATAACTTGGTACAAGAGGGAAGTCCTACCTTTATATTTATAGGTAAGGTTAGGGGTAAAAAGGCTTAGTTACAATAATACTTCACAATAGTAAAGTAAATTACTCTGCTAACTAATCCTGAAAAACTCCAAAATAAACCAAGATAATTTCAAATAAAGCCTCTAACTATCCTACATCAATCCCTCTCCTAGAAAAAAATTTGTCAACGAGGATAATTTATTGTCCAGAGGTTAATGGGTAGGCAGATGTAAACAACACATTTGAGATGTTGAGATCAAGCGATGTTTTGACAATATAGGCATTTTCTGTTACTCAGTTCATGAATCGACAATGACCAATTGCCCTCTTTTTTTCATTTAGCTTGTCATATGTACCTATAGGAAGCCTGTTCTTTTCTGAAATGTACCTTGTCTTGTATCTTCTTGATTTGATCGGCTGCTGCTTCAACATCAAGATCTAAACTTTTCAAACTAGAGAAATACATTAGGTGAATAGTTAAATGAGGAAATTTAGTATACACTATCTTAAAAGATATTTTGCACATAGATATATTCTTCAATTTGAATGCAAGTTCAACTTGTGGGGGAGCCTGATGCCATTCTTCAGCATGCCACCACCAAGTCATTGAATTTAATTTTTTGATGTCCTAGTCTCACCTCAGTTTGACCATTAGTTTAAGGGTGGGTGACAAGTTGTATTGTATTTTAATCGTCAACTATAAGTTTTAGTCCCTATTGTTTTATAAGTTTCAATATAGCTCCTTATTTATTAACTTTTCAATTTAGCTCCTCACTGCTGTTATTGGTAAAATTGGTTGATTCTCCTTTCAAGGAACAAGCCTTCATTCTGTGGACTAATGCAGTTTATGCAAATTTATGGAGGCTTTGGTTTGAAAGGAACCAAAGAGTTTTTAAGGGACTCGAGGCCAACTTTATTGGCTTTTGGGATTTATTTGTTGTCTTTACTTCTACTTGTTGTACCCTTTCGAAGGGGTTCTGTAATTATAGTCTTTCGAATATTTTTGCCGACCGGGGCCTTTTATCGTAACCGGTGGCTTTTTGGGGATAATACATTCTCCTTCTTCTGTTATGAGCAATTTTGATCTTAGTCTCATTTCCTATTTTTTTAAAACACTACCTGACATAATATTTATTGGAAAGTAGGAGGAATTAGAAGCTTTCCTCTTTTAGATGATATTTTCCTCTAAATTTTTGTCAATTCATCATGTATTATGTGATGTAAATTTCTTGCAAGTCAATTATAACATTCACTAACTATGAGAAGCTAAATTGAAAATTTTTAAAACATAAAGAATTAAATTTGAACTTTTATTTAAACCATAGCCACTAATGAAGCAATACCCAGATATTAGGGAATTAAATTTACATTTGTCTAACATTAACTGCCCACCAATTAATGTTAACAAAGCTGTCATACGTGGACTTTAGTCCAGGAAGTTGTTAAATAATATAATATCAATGATAAGTTTGCAACTAATGATTTCTTTGTAGATAACACTCACTGTACTGCCTTAAATTGGCGTAAATGCTCCCCCCTTCTAACTATAGTCTTTCTACCTTAGTCACTAATTGGAATTATGTTTTGTAATCCGCCCATGGTGGTGGGGTTCTTCCCTTTCTTTCTTATTCTTGTCCTTTATATCATTTCTCAATGAAATCTATCCTTTACTTGAAAAAATGTATCAACTACATTCTACATTTTTTGTTATTCTAGACTTATGCTTGATGGAAAAAATAAAATCTTTGTATAAATGCTTCACCTAGCTTGCATGTAAATTTGGTCTAGCAAAGACTGGTGATCATCTAACAAATAATATTCCCATTGTTTTAAGGCTCATACTTAGACCCCAATACGCCTCTTGATTAAACATGCTCTATTTATTTATTTATTTTGTTTTAAGGCTAAGACTGGATAGTGGTTAGCTTGTCGTTTAGTGACTTAAAACTGTTCATCCTTTTCTTTATTCTATCTTTTTGTATTATAATGGATAATGGATTTCAGAGAAATGACACATTATTGCTAAAAAATAAAGCCTCAGTCTCCAATCAAACCCTTGTGAAGATGAGTCTTGTGCCCTACATCTAGACTTCAACCTTTTCAAAGTGAACTTCCAGCGTAGTACGTTTTCTGTTGCAGTTTGTTTCCTATCAAACCCTTGTGAAGATGTGTCTTGTGCTGTACATCTAGACTTCGACCTTTTCAAAGTGAACTTCCATAGTATGCTTTCTGTTGCATTTTGTTCAGTTTATACCTAGTACTGTTGTACTAATCTTATTTTAGTATATAGTTACATGCCTATGCCAATTTCCATGTATATAATTCTCCTTATATAACTCATGATGGGGATGTCGGTCTTGCAGTTCCTGAAAAAGTCTGCCTCAGATTACATTGTACATTTCGATCCTTCATTGCATGTAAGACAATAAAGCCAACCTGAACGTAATCTGACTTTTTATTTGTCTGTAGGAAAACCATCAAGAGCTCTGCCCACAAGTTCTATTGTGGGAAGAATCGAATTGTAATATATATTTAATGCCAAAGGTTTGTTTTATTCAGGCTTTACCTAAGCGAGAGCAGTTGCAACAACAGTTTTGTGATGAAATCCAAGCTCAATCGTTTGATTTCTTTTCTAAGGATGCTTCTGTGAGAAATGTGGTCCCAGACCCTGATGTCCCACGGGGTTGTGATGCAAATTCTGTGGAGTAAGAGTTCTTGTATCAATGATCTATGTGTTGATCTAGCTTCTGCACTATTTTGTTATTTATATGATGTTGGACATCTTAGGTTTGACCAGCAACCTGGAATTGTACCTAAAGTGGGATCTGGAGAAAAAGATGTGGTGGGGTTATTGTCTAATGTATCACCTCGAGGATCAAGTCCTGAGTGGATTAGGCCTCCTCCACCAAGGCTTCCGACACAGAATGGAGAGGTGAGACACATTTTTAACTGTCTCCTTTATAGGTAATGTATTTAGACTAGAACAGACCTGATTTATACCTGGCAAAGCCCCTTTACAGTTAGTGTGGTTGAACGTTGACGATGATCATGAACTTTCATGGGACCATGAAATATGTGTTGATAGTAGTAGAGGTGCCGCTGCGAGGGACTTAATTGCAAAAGCTGTGAAGGGCCCTCTTATACCTGCTGAACACGAGGTTCAAATACTTCTGCAGTTACTTTGTTATCACGTGAATTTTTTTCCTTTCATAATGGATGCCAAAGGATGAAATGACTCATTGTTGTTCTTTGGTTGACCAGCAAGCGGTGGAGGAGTTGGAAAATGACCCAAAGCTTGTATATCATTGTGGACTGACACCCAGAAAACTACCTGTATGTGATTTTGAATCATATCATGATTTCACCAAAAAAGAAGTTCTGCCTCATCTTTGTGAATCTTTTTCTTATCAATAGGAACTGGTGGAAAACAATCCTCTAGTTGCAGTTGAAGTTCTAAAGAAATTGATTAATTCCCCTGAAATTGCCGAGTATGGATTGTAATCCTCGTGTTGAATTATTTTATTGTGCATGTCCTGAGATACTGTCGTTCTTTCCTTCTTTTTTTTTTTTTTTTTCTTTTTCCTGTACTCATTCTCACACCTTTTGTTGCACAGGTATTTTCATGTGCTTGTTAACATGGACATGAGTTTACACTCTATGGAAGTTGTCAACAGGCTAACGACAGCTGTCGAACTTCCCTCCGAGTTCATACACATGTACATCAGTAATTGTATATCATCATGTGAGAACATTAAGGTACGTATCTGTACTATACTTTCTGAGTTTACAACATTTGGTAGTTGAGGACTCCTATTGTGTGCTTGATTTCTTGGATGCCTGCGTATTTTCTTTCGTTTTTGTTAATGAGCTTGGTTTCTTACCCAACCCAAAAGAAAGTACTGTACTGTAAGAGAGCGAACATTTTTAATTGTTGTTATTATTCCACAGGACAAGTACATGCAGAACAGATTAGTTCGACTTGTATGTGTTTTTCTACAGAGTCTGATTCGAAATAACATCATCAATGGTAAGTTCCTGTAATGCCTCTGCTTGAATTAAATTGTTGGCAGAAAAATTGAGTATTTGGTGTTGTTGGTTGCAGTGAAAGATCTTTTCATCGAAGTTCAAGCTTTCTGCATCGAATTCTCTCGCATTAGAGAAGCGGCGGCGTTATTCAGGCTTCTTAAATCTTTGGAATGAGACAGACAGACAGACAGAGTGCTTGCTGCATCCATCTCAGCCGCCATCCTTTTTGTAAATAGCAATTGTTAGCATTTTATATACTCGAGCCTTAGGATCCCCTCTCTTCTCTCTCTCCTCTCCTACTGTCTCTCTGTTATGGCTTAGCAAACATTTGACTAAATATATATTTGGCTTAGCCCACTTCCCATTCGCATTTTGTTATGGAGTAATATGTCTCTCTTCAGTGCTCTTCAATTCGTGTTTGTCGTTAAATCGTTTAAAACTTAATTCATTAATTTAAAGATGATAAGAAGAGACATTTGATAATCTTGCCTCTTCTTATCTTTAAATGAAATTGAGTTATTATGTTTTTATTTTTCTAATATATATATAAATCAAGCAGGAGTTTTATTCAGGTTTTCTTTTTTACGTGCTTGTCCTAATTTCTTAATCACGTTTCACCGTTTGGCGCTAGTAAAAAATATTTATTATCGTAGAAAATTACAAATCAAAGTTACCTATAAGCTTATCCCAAATTTTTATTGACATTCAAATTAGTTGGGTACAATATATATCATTTGATATTTTATTATAATATTTTATTATAAACAAATATATAGATATTTGCGTTCTATCTCACAAACAAATATTCTCAAAGAGTGAATCAAAATTAGCCAAAATGGGTTGGAAATACAGTGAAAAACGAGAAAAATCTCCGGAAGAAAAATAAAAAAATTAAATTTGCGCAAAATCTGAACATAGCTAGATTAAAAAATCCAACCCAAAGTATCCCACGACCCAAGCTCTACAGGCACATGCATATTGTTAAGGATATTTAGTAATAAATTATAGTTTACCATATATATCATATTTGATATTTTATTACAAGGCTAGATATTTGCACTGTAAGTATCTTTCTATTTATTATTATTTTCATTTATTACTCTTTCCATATTCTTGTAATTTATTTGATTATAAATAATAACTTTCACACCATTTAAGTGTGTGGTGGATTAATCCCACGACCCAAGCTCTACAGGCACATGCATATGATAGTTTGTTTTCCATTTGTAGTATAGGTTGAATTTCAATTATATTCGTAGTATATGTTAGTATAGATCGAATTTTCGTTTGCATTATTAGTATAGGTTGAATTGTAATCACATTAATAAATCATAGGTTAGTGTAGGATGTTTAATTCATAATTGTTTTCCTTCTTTCCCTTTCCCTTGTATTCGTTTATTCATCAGATAATAAATGACAAATTGAAGTTGCATTTATAATAAAAAAAAAAAAAACTATTTAAAGTAAATTTCGCATTTAAAATACAGTTAGATTAAATAGATTAACTCTCCTTACAAAATAAAAATAAAAAAGAATAATTATTATTATCTTTCGAAACTAAACCAAAAACTAAATTTGTCTACGAATTGAAACTAAATTTATAAATACATCTTGCTTTTAATCTACTTAATACATATGCTTTTTTTAATTCTTTTTTAAATTGAAATAATTTCTAAATAAATGGAAAAAAAATGTGGTTTCTAAAAAGGGACTATTTTTTATATCTTATAATAAATTTCTAAACTTATTCGATATTAGAAAATAAAATTATTTAATAAACCAAATTTAAGGGAAAGTTTTCCTGGAATAATTTCGCAACAAAACATCGAAGCAAAATTTAAAATGCATACAAGAATCAATCTTTAATTCATCTATCATATTAAATAAGGTAAGAAAAATTCTGACTCGACAAAAGCTGAAGAAAATCAACTTGAAACGTAGTGAACCAAGGTGAACTGAACAAAGAATCGAAGAAAACCCTTAAATCGAACGTGAACTAAACTTGAAGATGACTTGTTTACCACCGTAAATTGGCAAGTGGCATAAAAACAAACATACTCATGAAATGGTGCTCCTTGCATTAGATAAGATTTACACACCATTAGTTTATTTAAATATCGCATGCAACTCAATATTACAGAGAATTAAAAAAATTAAAAAGTTGTTATCGGGTTGAGAACTACCCACCAAGTATTTCCGGGATATGAAGAACCGGCCCGCTATCCTTCCACCGACAGGAGTGGGAGGTGACGCTGCTCTGTGAAGCCAGCCTCACGCGGTTCCCTCAATCTCTCTCTAAAGGATGCCGCCCCTGGGCCTTCGCCCAACGACAACAGCCCAACTCCTTACTTGGAATGGACGGGCCAAACAATACTCCATGGACCCTACCCAATGGGTTGGGCAGATCTCTAACAACTTTAATGCCCCCATTTGAGTCACAAGCCCGCATTACCAAGCTCGGCAGTACGTGGTGACTGCAAGTGACCTTATAAGGACTACATCTAATTTCAAATCTAGCAATGTGGGATTCCTCTTTGTGTATATGTTATTTTGAATTTTTAGTTTTTTAAATCGGAAAACTAAAAATAAGTAGATTTTTTTTTTTTTTTTTTAATTTGACTGAGAATTGCAATGTTTTCTAAATAAATGTGAAACTAATGGTGGAAAATGAGGAGGAAAAAAAAATGTAGTTACTTCGAGATAAGCCATTGGAATAAATCGGCTTTTCTCAACAGTTGTTATAAAGTTGTCGTGGACAGTGTATATAGGAGCATTACAATTCAGCATTTCTTCAACTACTTTCATAGCAATAAAGGCATCCTTCTGATGGATGAAATTGACGAAGGTAGAGATCTCTGTCTTCCAACGATCTCTCTTAGAAGAAGACACTCTGAGAGTAACCCGACGCCTCTTCTTATGAAGTCGGTCATATACCCATATATAAGTTGACTCCATTTTCATATAATCCTGAACACTTGTAAAGTAACTAACATTATATTTAACAGCACTATCCCTAGAAGACGCGACCCAGCCTATAAGACGTATCAACCTGATCAGGCATTCCATTCCTGGATATTTTTCTTTGAAGAACTTAAAGCAGACAGAGGCCACATTGAAGCATTCCTTACTCGTAAGGTGTTGAGAGAAATGTACCATCAGATCGGTTGATGTGCTCATTACAGTTTTTCCATAGATAATTGGCATAAAGATTGATTTAACAATCTTACGAGAGAGGTGTTTGCAAACAACCGAACATAAATTTGGATCAAGTTCTGCTTTCATGAACTCCTTGAGCTCAGCGAGGAAGTACAAATAAACATCTAGGAAGAGATTTGTTCTCTCAGCCAGGCTCTCATCCAATAAAAAGTAACTCATAATCTGATATGCACTTGATGCAGCGTCCTGGGTAATAGGGACAAAGTCATAAATATTGGCTGCAAACTGAAAAGGCCGTTTAGCCAACGTTATGTTTTGAGATATAATTTTATTGTCTTTGTTATTAAAATTACACTTTATCTCTTCCTTCTGATGATTATGATCAGCAAACACAATCAGGCTTCGTGCAAGATCACACTCGTGAAAATGCAAAATACCACAGCGATAAATTCTACCTCTAAAGTCAAGAAAGGCGGGTAGGTAAAATTTATAGCCGTCGTAGGCTCTTGCGAGATTGAGAATTAATCGTTCATAGCGTGAACGCTGGATAGTCTTAATCACTGTATGTAACAAATCGTTAAAGGAAAATTCATTGTATATTACCTCATCCTTCATGTGGAAATCTCTAAGAATGGGGCTAACATCTCTGATATTCATCGTTTCCAGAAATTGTGGCATAAGAAGACCATCGTCAACAAACTAGTCTTCATTTTCCATTAAATGGTTCAACCAATCACTGGTGATTGTAAAGGGCTGACGCTGCAGCGCATTCATGACTTTACACATAGACTTGTAATCATTCTTATAATAAGAAGAATAACCTATATATATATAAAAGTGATTTAGATCACCAGAACTTAATAAGCGGTAACGATCATAAATCTCACCAGTCGGTCCACTTAGGTAACCCCCTGATAGATCTGAGAGATATCTAGGAGATTGATTCGGCGGACACGCACTCATCCAATCAAGAGGTGGGCATATCATAGGAAGGTTGAGCTTGATCGGAAGTAAAGTAACATCAAAATTACAGACAATGAATAGATTGCTTTCATAATAATAGCCACCTTTCGACTTTTTCTTAACACCACTACCAAAGGATTCCATTGTAATAGAACTGACCAATCCCCGCTCCTCCATAAACTCGAGTAAGAAGACACCGAAGGAAAAAGTCTCAGACTTTTCCATTTTATCAGACATATGAACATTAGAAATGCTCTTTTTACAGGAGTGGGATTTTAATAACCTAGAATGTGTACGTACAGAAGAGTCGAGTTGATTAATTAAAGAAGCAGCACGAACCATACTTTCATATGTGTTGAAAACAATTCCCAGAACGTGAATAATTAATGCCTCTAGAGTATATTGACCGAACTCTTCAAGCATTTTTATGTCATCATCATCAGCTGATTTCTCAATTATATAATCCTTTGCACTCAATTTTTCCTTCTGTATTAAGATTTTAATAAAGTTAGGAACATCATTATATATTGAACTCTCGTCGAACTTCATACTATCATCTTATATTTTCTGTTGTAGCTGACGTAATTCAACTTCCGATAAAGGAAACTTCGATTTATATTCTTCCATAAGATTCAATACTGACAGTTTATACAATTGTGATTTGCTCCTCTTAACGTCTTCTCCCGAAAATTTCAATTTATTTTTTTCCTCTAAAGAAGTATAAAAATGATTTAAAAATACGATTAGCTCTTGAGAATTTTTTTGCTTAGAATTCAAAAACGCTAAAATCCATTTATTTTGCATTGTGTTATTTATTTATTTTTTTTTTTTGTTTTTCCTCGTTGTTGGTTTATCGAACACTGGGTATTAGACAAGATGTGTAAAGCATGTGTGATCCTGTCTCGGGAAACAGTACCTCCCTCTAGAGAAAGGGTACGATTTCTGGTACATATTGTACTTTGACTTTGACTTGTTGTTACTTGTACTCTCAAGGTTAAAAATAGTGTGTACTTAACTTGTACAGAATAGAAAGGGTACGATTTCTGGTACATATTGTACTTTGACTTTGACTTTGACTTGTTGTTACTTGTACTCTCAAGATTAAAAATAGTGTACTTGTACAGAATATGTGTATGTCTGATTTGTATAAAATAGTATAGCTCTAAAGGGTGACCTGCTCTGTGAAGCTAGCCTCATGCGGCTAGCCTAAACTCCCCACTTGGTATGGACAGACCAAATATTTACTCCTGGGACCCTACTCTTTGGACTAAGCCAACCTCCAACTGCTTTAATGCCCTCATTTGAGTTACAAGCTCACATTACTAAGCTCGATTGAAGCTGGTGCAAGCCATGTTATAAACACTCCATTTAATTTAAAATTTAGCAATGTGGGAGAAGAATTTGGATATTGAAGCTAAATTTAAAATTTATGAAGAACTATTTATTCTTAGAGAATTTATAAATAAAATCAATGCAACTCTAATTTAAATAGATATAGAAATTAGTTGTAGGATGGATTTAAAGAATAAAAACGATTCAAATAAAAAAGTGGTTGTCGGGCTGAGAACTACCCACCAACTATTTATTGGGCCATTGAGACCCGGCCCGCTATCCTTCCACCGACAGGAGAGGGAGGTTACGCTGCTCTGTGAAGCCAGCCTCACGCGGTTTCCTCCATCTCTAAGGACAGCTACCCCCGGGCCTTCGCCCAAGAATAGTAGCCCAACTCCCTACTTGGAATGGACGGGCCAGATAAACACTCATGGACCCTACCCAATGGGCTGAGCCAACCTCCAACCACATTAATGCCCCCATTTAGGTTACAAGCCCGCATTACCAAGCTCGGCGATGATTGGTGGCGCAAGTCACATTATAACGACTACATATAATTTCAAATCCAGCAATGTGGGATTCCTCTCGCTGAGAGCAGGCCCTTATACTTGATACATATTTTTTTTAAACAAATTAAAAACTAAAAAAAAATTGTTTTCTTATATTTGAATTTATCTAAGAATTTAAATGATTTCTAAATAACAGGAAGGAAAAAAAATTATATATAATAAATGACTAAATGCTATTTTCAATTTTTTTTAAGAATATTAATTTTATTGTTCATTTTATTTAGTTTAATGTCAAATAGAGAATAAATGTATTTATTTAATTCAATAAAATTATACATTTATTAAATATTTAATAAACCAAATTTAAGGGAGAAATTATTTAATTTTCTGTGTATTAAGAGGATTTAAAAACAATAGTTAGCTAAATCATAAATGTTTAGGTTCAATCTCAATAGAATTCATTTTCACCGACAACCTTTTAACGAGGAGAATCAATCTTATAACTCATCTATCATATATTAAAAAAAACATAAATGATTCTTAAACATATTACCAACGGTGAGAAAAACTTCTAACTCAGCTAAAGCTAAAATAAAATCAACTTGAAATGTACTGAATCAAGGCAAACTAAATAGAAAATTGGACAAAACCCTCGGATTGAAACTAGTGAGAATACCTTAAACTGATCTTGAATAATGTAGAAACATGTTTGAATTACTAGAAATTGCATTAATCAACGTGAACTGAAACTAAATCAACTTGACCACCATAGTGAGAATAACCCTAAACCGGTCTTGAATCATTATAAAATTGAATTGGTTCACTTATACATTAGAGCCATGCACCTCGACATCTTCACAATGGTGAACTAGATACCCGAACTAAAAAACGTGAAGCGAAGGAAAAATGATAGTAGAGTTATGGTGGCAAAGACTGAGGCATGGTAGCGAGCCCAACAAACTTGTCAATTGAATGACTATGCGGTTAAGGCTTACATAAAATAAGAGGAAAACAAACCAAAAATCCATAAATTGAGAACAAAACTAAGAACTTACTACTCGTTCATGGATGATTTGACCACACGATAAGATCAATAATTTTGAGGCAAGGATATCCAAAACACAAGGGGATGAATTAACGACAATGGCAACCCTGCACCCAACAATGGTATAAGGTGAATAGAGGAGAATTGACCCACTGTAACGTGAACTTATTAAGAGAGAGTCAACCAAATTGAGAGACGGAAACAAATTCTTGCCCAGTCTCGAGAAGAATGATGAGGAGATGATTTTCAATCATGCGACGAATAGTTGAATCACGTAATTATCGACCGTGACTTGTTGAGGAGAGATCACATTCGTTTCCACTAATAGGTTGAAGAACTAGTCAACGTGACGTGTGACTGTTTGACTTTGACATTTTATTAAAAAATTTAGGTTGTTATATCACTTGTAAAAAAAATTAATAACTATAATTCATTTATTTAAATTTTGATTTCAAATGTATAGGTATATTATTTAATAAGATAGGCTTACAATATGCATACATATATCTTTCAATAATTGTCTGGTTATTTACTCAAATACTTTATATTATTTTATATAATATTTAAATATACTAATTTGATAACAAAAAATAATAAAGATTTTAAGTATTTACTTTTAAAAAAAAATCATTTTATACCATTAAAAAAAAAAAAAAAAAAAAAAAAAAAAAAAAAAAAAAAAAAAAAAAAAAAAAAAAAAAAAAAAAAAAAAAAAAAA